CCCCCGGGGCCCCCCCCCCCCCCCCCCCCCCCCCCCACCACCACCCAGCGAGCGACTGTCGCTTTCGGGCTCTGAAGGGAAACGGTTGTACGAGACTCAGAACATCAACCTCTGTCTTTCGAGCCTCGGCGACGTGCTGGCGTGCCTGTCGAAGAACGCCACCATAATGTCGCGGCGGAACTCCCGGAATGATTCGGGGGGGCACGCGGGCGGCGGCAACGGCGACGCGGGGGGTGGGGGTGGAGAGAACGCGGCCCCGGTGCCGTACCGAAACTCGAAGCTCACGCACTTCCTGAAGGTTGGTGTGCTCGCACTCGCTGTTGTAGCGTAGGAGCGTCCACCGTAACTGAAGTAAGACACCACCCCATGGACCGGTTTTCAATGGTCAGTTTCTCCACGATGAAGAGGACGTACGAATCAAACGATACGTTTAACGAGAAGCCCTCGACAAGACGCTCCAACGCCGCCATTTTCGGCACCGCCTCTCTCTGCGCTATGGAGTGAGTTATCGAGCTTCGATAATTGGTCCAGGGGGTGTGGAACCTTGTGTCATGTCGCCTATACGGCAACCTTGAGCGTGGGCCCTCTGTTGTTGGGCGGGCACGCGCTAGACCGATTCACCTTCTTTATTGCGGTTACCTGCCCTACTTAATGTACTAGACAACTTGATTGTTCTAGACGTCTGTACTAGAGATATTTCACTCGCTCTTTTCCGCCCACCCGCACTTTTGAGGCGCAGCGACAGTGATCATTTTTGTTGATGTTTTTTCGGGGATGTTTGTTCGTGCTTTTGCTCGTGCGGGTGTACCTCTATCGGACACGGAAGCAGCAGCGTGCTGGGAATGAGACGGTTCATTGCAAGCGTCAGCTCAATTGTTCGATCGTTTTCGCCCATCGCCTTCCCTTTTTTTCAGTTTTCACTCTGTACTCTGTTCTTCTAACTCTTCTGTTTCCACCAAGTTGTGTCTATTCATTCTTTCCGTTCGCTAATTGTTCTGTTTTTTGCGAGCCCACTCCCTTGTCGTTCCTCTTTCACGTCCAGGATTCCTTGGGGGGCAACTCGAAGACGCTCATGGTGACCACGCTAAGGTCTACCGCGGCGTATCACCGTCAGGTGGGTGCTTTAATCCGCATGTAGAAGTGACGCAGGGGTTCCGCTCATCAACGAGGGGGGGTAATGCTGGTGCTGCCAAGTAGTTTCATCCGCGTGAAGTGGTGATCATGGATGGTTGCTCGATATCGTTCGCACCTTAGTGTCCAGACCGCTTTTGAACACTCAATGGCTATTCATGTTGCCGGTGCGTAGTTGAATTGACCAGGCCTCCATTTAACACTCAGCGGCGATGCCTGTAGCCGGTGCGTACAGCAGCTGAATGGAAAACCTCTATTTTTCCCGCACCGCCGCCGTTTCCGCCTGTCATCTACGTGCATGTTGAAAGCATGATGTAATTCGAACAGCCCTATTTGTTGTGGCTTCGTGTCTTCGTGCCGCCGCCGTCTGAATTGACGCCCGACCATGGCAAGGTGACGCAACGTTCCGCGTCATATCCTTGAAAACAGGGCAAAAAACCTTCCGCACCTTTCCCACTTTTTTTTTTCCGACCTCTATTTCGTCATTCTTGTACTTTTTTTAACTTCGGGCATCGGGGCGAACGTCGCAACTGGACGAACGACGCCTCGATGGGGCCACGCGACTGGCACCGGGGGGGGGGGGGGGTATGCCGCGAATGGTGCCCGTCGTAACACAGAGCCTGATTTCGCTCATGTACGCTTCTCGCGCGAAGAAGATCCGCAACCAGAGCTGCGTCAACGTCGACACAGCGGGCCAGTCCAACATGCACCAGGTGAGAAGCATTTGCATACATACCCTCTTCCTCCTCCTGATCTCTTCCTTCTGTTGTTATATCGTCGATTCGCCCGCCGCTATTGCTTTTGTTCGTGTCCCGAGCTCGACAAATACAGCACGTCGGCAACGGTTCAGTACAGTGCATGGCATTAGTTAGGCTGTCTTTCCCCGCAGACAGGCCGTGTTTCGCTTCAGGAACAAACGTATAGGTTGTACCGGCTCTGAAGCCATAAGTCGGGCTGAGAATCGTTTCCGTACAAATCTGGATGGGCCCCTATGTCGTATGGTAGCACCGTACATGTTGAATGTCGAGGCGTTCGACGTGAAGATTCGTTAGAACTGAAACGGACGACAGAAGCAACTCGTTAACACGAGCCGTGCACCTTGTTCCCTTTGCGGTGCGGACGTCTCATTTACGCTTCCTTCGAGCGAGTCTACCCGTAGGGAGTGGGGACTGCTGAGTGCAGTTCACTTGTTTGAAGAAGTTTAGGGAAGCGGGTGGTACACGGCCTTGTCGCCGCTCACGGCGAGACAATCAATCTGAATGTTCGTTTGTCGACGTACAACAGCTTTCACTGGTTCGGCGCCAATCTCGGAGCGGTTTGTGTGTGGTGGCCATGTTGGTTGCTCTATACAAACATTGTTTCTTTCTTGTGATATGCTGTGTCTTTGCAGGTCTGGTGGGTACTTGAACCTGTAGAGGACACAGCGCGGGCTCCTCTGATAATTTAGCCTTTGGTAGAAGATAGGGTGCTTCGTGTCTCTGGTTTCAAACAAACCTACCACCACCATCACCATCAACAACAACGGATGTACCCATGAACCGGGCAGGTGTCGGCGGAAATCGAGACCCTGAAACACCGGCTCCACCAGCGGTCCCTCGAGCTGAGCCAGCTGAACAGCGCCAACGAGTCCGGCCAAGCGGAAAACGCCTCTCTCCGTGAGAAGCTGGAGGTAGGTGTGTAGAGGTGTAGGGGGGGGCGTTTTTCGTACAGGGTACCACACTGTTTGGGCATGGAAAGCTGCCGTTTGGGCTGTAAGTATATGTGGGGCTGGTCTTTGTATGTTTGTGGTTATTGCTGTTGCTGTCGATCTCGCTTTTGTGTTGCCGTTATTGCTGTAGAAGTATGTTGTTGTTGTTGTGGTTGTGATTGTTTCTTGTCGTCAAGCTTCACTAGGGCAGCTGTCCCGTAAAAGGCGGAGGGTGATACACGAAACAAGAACATGCACATTCATGGCCCCTCGTCCTTCACCGTGTACAATGGTATCCAATTAGCGCCCGCACACAAACACGCGGGAGTTAAGATTTCCATGCTCAATAGACAGAAAACTTCAGAACATGGCCACAAGAACATTAAATACCCACACCAAAACCAATATATTCGCTGTTGAGGTACCCAATGGAACCCTAAGACACGAGCCTCGGCCAAAGGTAGAGATTCGACAGTGTCGGCGCCGACTAGGGTTGTTCCGTGCCACTAGTTTTCGATGTGTCGATCCTCGTACACGGCTCGCCGGAAAGTTATGATGGAATGAAAAGACCACGGTTTTTTCGCTGGGCCGGTACATCTGTTTCGATGCTGATGATGGTGCAGGGCTTGAGCTCGACGAACGAACGGGAGAGGGCACAGCTGGAGGGAAAGCTCTCGACGGTCATTCACTCACAGGTACACAGTGAACTCTCCCTCGTTTTCTCTTCAGCTAGGAAAGCGTTCCTTTACACTCACAGTATCGCCTACCAGGCCTGACCCGGACACTGCTTGTTCTCTTCTGCTTCGTTATTATTCATTTGCTTGCCTGTCCCGCTGCTCACGTTGCACTGTTGTCGGTTTTTTTTCCTGTCCACGGTTGTTCACTCAAGGGTTCAGAATGCTAAATAGGTCTCACCAGACATTGCCTCCACGGGTATTCACTCCCACGTACAGCACCGTAGGTGACAGAAGATGTCACACCCCCTAGATCGACTTCTGCAGCTCCATCACACTCCAATACGAAAATGAGGTATGACTCGAATTGGACGTTTTCGGAAAGAGCTAGACGGTTCCGACGCCGCTATTTTGGGCACCGCCACTCTCCGTGGTGTGGAGAAAATCCAGCTTTCAAAATCAGACCAAAAGGGTGTGTGTGGCAATCTGATGTTGCCTACGGTTTGCAAGGCCTGACCCAGACCCGGACACAATCTGTCGTTCTCTTCAGTTTCGTTAGGTTGCCAATGCTTGTCTGTCTTTCTGTCTACTTTGCATTGTTCTACCATTTCTTTTCATGTTTTCCCACGTTTCCTGCCTGTTGATGTTTCATGTGTCCTCCCCAGAACAATGTTTCTACCAAAATATGAAGTGAGCTAAACGTCACCGCGCCCTGATCTGTTGCTGGTCACGTGCTCGATCATCTCTCAATGTGTTGGAGGTGTTCACCAAAACCGAAAATTGTCGTCGACATGTTGGCTTTTCTCCTGTGGTTTCAATCCTCCCACAGTATCTGGTGTGGTCGCGTTTTGGTTCACTCTTTCGTCTCTCGGTTTCGGCTTGTAGCACACTTGCCGCTTATGACAATAACGCATCTCCCGTCAGTCACTCCCTCTTTTTTGTCTGGTTCACCTTTATGCCCTATTCACTTTTGTTGTCGCCACGATTTTTAGCCTCTTTGTTTCGCCGTTTTGCTGTGTGTTGTTTTCGGCTACATTTCACTCTCCTTTTGTCTACACTTTGTCCCGCTTTTTTTTGGCTTGGCTCTGTTATTCATTCTTCGGCTGGTCGTGCAAGCATCTTTCTCTTTTCTTCTGCTCGTTTTTTTCTCCTTTCGCTGACCTGGTTTCTTTCTTCTTTTGCTTTTGTTGTTTTTCTTCATCTTGTTTATTTTTCGTTCATTGGCTGAGCTGGTTTCATGGTCATTTCACTCCTTATTTCACTCTTCATTTCACTCTTGCCGTCCTTCATTTATTTTGTTTGTTCATTGGCTGAGTTGGTGTCATGATTAGTTCAGTCTTCATTTCACTCTTCCTGCCCTTCTTTGGTGTTGTTTCTGGCTCTCGTACATCTCATACACTCACTCTTCACCTGTCACGTTCTCTTCGGCTGGTCATGCATTTGTTTTGTATTTCCCTTCATTTTCGCTCCCTCGCTTGTTTGTGTCATGCTGGCTGGGTTGTCTCGTGATTAATTTCACGGTTTACTCTTAATAGTCTTTCGCCGCCCCCCCACCCCCCGCTTTGATCACTCTGGCATTCACTCGTCGGTCGTTCATGCCAGATTTCGTTCCAGGTTTCCGTTATTTTATCTTCCGCGTGTATGGTTTTCGCGCCTTTTCCCTGGGTTGTTTTGCTGGATATTGATCTCCCCATTGAACTCATTTTATCGCTTCATTCCTCCCGTGTTTCATTCACTGAGCGTTTCACTGTACGCCTGGTTTTGAGCTTTTGACCCCGTTCTTTTGGCACTCCAATTTGTTTCCTCGCTTTTTCCCCGTTGTTTTTTTCCCCGCTCTTGTTGGTTCTCTAGTTCGCGCCAGGCGTGCCCCTTACTCCTTGCCGACGTCCACGCATGGGAGCAGACTTGATTCACCCTGTTTGCTTACGATATTTCCATTTTTTTTCCCTTTCTCCAACACGTTCCTTCTTCGGCTGGCAGGCCGGAAAGCTCGCCGTTCAGCACCGAGCCTTTGTCAACCTGCAGGCTAGGCTCCAGCAGCAGCTTGGGGAGTACCAGAAGAAGTGTACCCTGCAGCAGCAGGAGATCACTCATCTACGCAGGTACGGGTGTGCGCTTCCCTGGGTTTGATGGGCAGAGGTGTTTTTGGGGGTACGGTGAGGTACACGGTGTGTTGGGTGGGACCATGAGAATATTGCACGGGCCCACAAGTCCATGCTTGATACATTGCTTATTCGCCACGGTCGTGCAGGTGTTACTATGAGTTTTTTCGGGTAGGGTCCATCGCTAGTTTGTTTTTTATATCTTGTGAACAATTGGGCATCGGTTTCTCGGAGAATTTCTTGATCTCGGGGCAACACCAACAGCAGCACGATGGAGAGGAACGCACCCGGAAACGGAAAGGCACTCAGGAAACGCAGGGTACAGATTGCACGGAATTGTTGGTCGTGATGGTTTTGACGCCGTGCATACGTGACAGGGTGCAGATTACATGACTTGAGGGATGGTCATTTTCATAAAGCTCGTGCCTGCGTGCCCCTTGTCTACGGCATGAAGCAACCGTGCTATCGCACACCGTTGTTTCAAGTTTTTTCGCGTGTCCTTGAAACCACAGCACGAAAGAGATTGACAGGGAATCTGTTTGATGTCGTGCCTGCCCCCTGTCTGCAGCATGCAACAACCACCGTGTTGCTATCGGTACACCGTTATCACACATCTTCTCCCTCCTGTACCCCTACAACCGCAGCAAGATAGAGGCGACATAGCGTGATTGCTTTTTGGATGTCGTGCCTGCCCCCTGTCTGCAGCAGAAAACGACCACCATCGGACACCGTGCTGACACGTGTTCTCCCTCCCTTATCCGAACAACCGCAGCACGATAGAGACGATGGAGCGGGAGACCGGGTCCCGACTGGGAGGCGACGAGGTGGAAGAAATGCAGCGGGCGATGATGGCCTGGCAAGCACAGGCCACGGCAGCGCAGCAGGTTTGCTTTTGCAGCTATTCTCGAGACCCTTGTGGTGGTGGTGTTGGCTGTACGCTGGATCAGTACTGGCCTTCAGTGGCGAATATCATTCCTTCGCACCATCCCCGTGCCAGCGATCGGAGACGAACTCCACCACCCGGGGCCATCGCACATCATACCTCTTCGTCCAGAAGGATTCTATCGCGAATGTCGTGAAACTGCTGCGCAAATGACGACCGAAGGAACGAGGAAGGGCATGGTAGATGACAGCAATTTCTGGTGACTAGACCCAACGTTCGCATGATTACAAGGGACAACCAGGTACCACGTCTCGGAATGAAGACATTCTCAAGTATATTTCCTTGTGCATGGTGCGCGACCTCCCCCACCCCCCACGCCCCGACCTCTCCGGGTGCGCCCCCCGTATCGCGTTGACTGCGGCAGGAGCTACGGCTGGCAGCGAGACAGCTAGAGGGTGTACGCGGGGACGGGCTGAGACATAGGGCCGATCGTGACAGGTAGCTCACATGTGGCTTCTTCGACGCCCTTTTACTTCTGGTTTTATGCCCCGGTTTTCTGTCCGCTGGGCCACTGTCGGCGCTTGGTGCGTGTTCCGACTGCAGCGTAGCATGCACGTCCTGCGCGCGCTAAGATAGCATGCGGAAAATCACTCGCTAGAAACGCCATCAAGACTCGTTGTTTCGGAGTTGTTGGAGTGATATCTCTATCCCAACCCCTCGCCCCGGCGGCCTGCGCCAGCCGGGGCACCCGGCAGAGCTGTAGAGGGCGCGAAAACTGTGGACCCTGAGCAAACTTCGACTCCCTGTGGTTCTGAAAACTTGTAGCAATTTCGCCCTCCAATTGGTAGTCGCTGCTGCTGTTCCCGATCTTCGTAGACTACCCTTTCCGCTTAGCCGGTCCCCCTCTCATCCTGCTCCTCCGTCCTCGGGGATGCCCAATCAATCCATGTCCTCTCTGGCTTAGTACAGCAAAGGCGAGGATGATGACCATCTTCCTCTTCATCATTGTGAAACGTAGCCTGGCCCGGCGAAGATTCCGGCATTTCGCTCCGTCCCGGCATTGTACGAATGCGAGGCCAATGGTCTAACGACGACGAGATGCGTTCACATGATCAACAACCTCCCGTATCTGTCATTCACATTTTGACTCGTCTAGGCTGGTCTTGGAGCTAGAAGCGGCTGAGGCACGGGAGAAGGCGCTGCTTGGTTACTGGCGACAGCTCCAGGTGTTTCGACCTTTGCCGTCGCATGGGCGTGAAGTGGGCTGTACGGTTTTTTTTTGCGGTTGATGCTGATGCTGGTGTTGTTGTTGTTGTTCTTGTTGTTGGTGCTGTTGTCGGTGGCGTTGGCGCCGGCGTGGATGGTGTTGCTGCTGGAAGTTGTTGCTGTTCATGTTCTGGCTGCTGGTGTTTCGTTTTTTGTCGTCTTAGGTGCAGTGGGTGTCGTCGCAGACTCTTTTTTCCCCAAGCACACACCTCCATGTTGGTAGTATATCCATCAAAACAGCCTACAAGGCGCCCGATCTTCACACGTAAGCCTAGATGAGAGGAACAATCCAAGGAAGTCTCACGCGAAGGGTAAAACGCCGAAGTCAGTCAACTCTTGGGAAGGAAAAAAAAGTATGGTACCAATCCTAAAGTGTTATTTTCATATTTTCGTTGCAAGCAGTCCGTGAGGTGACACATACATATTATTTTGTGTTTTTGTTTTACTCTAACTCTGACTCTGACTCTGTCCTCCGGGCCTTGTGTGATACGTACCGTACCTGACCAGGCCGCTTTGGGCCTCGGCACAACAACTCCGATGCCGCCAGACCGAGTTGTGGCCGCGGTGAATCATCTGCAAGAGGAGAGGGAGAAGGAGGTGACAAGGGTAGACTAATGGTGTTTCTTTCTGACCCACTTGGAATTTTTAGAGTTTTTTATCGTGGTTGTTGTTGTTCTTGTTGTTGTAGAAGAGGTTGCGTTGTTGTTTCTGCTGCCGCTGCTGCTTTTGCCGTTGCCGCTGGTGATGCTGCTGTTACCGACGTGAAAAGTGAGCGTGTTCGGAACTGTCCACCCGGTGTCCCTCACTATGTTAGACGTCGCCGTCACTCAGGTCGAAAACTGCCATCTCCCTTGCTGAATACCCTCGGCAGGCGAGTGCGAAGGCCAAGCAAGAACAGGCTTCGAGGGCCCGAACTGATGGGATCCGAGAGTGCAAAGATCTAGAGGAACAGGCGGAGGCACTTGCTAGGTCAGGCTGATGGCGGTTTTGCCACGAGGGGTGACTGTAGAACCAGACACTTATGCTTCTGTTGTCGACCCCAGTCGATGTGCGATCCCATGCGATGGGTGACACTGAGACGTATGCCCGATTCGGCTCGTGGTCCCATAATATGTAACCGTCCTCCATCGTTGACGGAAGGAGCGTTGTGAGACGATGGCCCTCGTCGGTAACCCGGAGCATTGTAAATGGGGAGAGATGGCCGAATCTTGAGTGCGGGGACCCCACCTGGTCACAGCAGCGGGCCCCTTGAACCCCACCCTACACGCACTGTACGAAACATCATTTGACGAAACGGATCGTTACACCTGTGAAGTGTACAATCCGCTTGATTATTTTTTGTGTTTGTCGTCTCTTGTAATATATCCACCCGCGAAACCATATGGCTCTTTTCTTTTACTCCGCCAGGGAAAAGGAGACCAGGCAAGCGGAGCTTCGAGGACTAGAAGACGACAAGAAGAAGGTGCCCCGGATTGGATTGCGGTTGTGCATAGCACGGTCAAGTTTCGGCTGTCGCGACTTTCCTATCTATCTTCAGCAACGTTCAGCAGGGAGCTGTTCACAAGAGACAAGTTTCATTATCTAGAGTCTCAAACACGTCCCAGGGGTGCACACTCGATTCTCTCGCTGTCTCTTTTTCTTGTTGATCTCTCTCTCTCGGTTGGTTGGTTCTCCGTCGAATCCCGTAGGCAAGCGTCCTTTCTCTTGCCGTCTGTCTCGCTCTCTCTTCTCTCTCTCTCTTCTCTCTCTCTCTCTCTCTCTCTCTCTCTCTCTCTCTCTCTCTCTCTCTCTCTCTCTCTCTCTCTCTCTCGGTTGTGCACCACCACGACGGAGCGGCTGACTCGCGCCTGGCGCGCCGTGTCGACCCGGTTGGCACCCCCTCGGCGAAACCCGGCATTGTTGGGATGCGAAACGTCGATGGTCTTATGACTGCGGCATGCGTCTACATTGTTTTACCCCCCGTACTGGGTGTCGTAGATTCGGCTACATCGAGTCTACCGGTACGGTCCGACGGGTACGGTGACCCATGGACATTTTTTGCAGAACCCCCCTCCGCGCTAGAGATACTTAGATCCCCACCCCAACCTTTCGTCCATTCAGGCGATGGAAAGGCTCGAGAAGCTGCGGGAGGATCGGCTCGAGACGGAAGCGACTATCGCTCGAGAAGAGGTGCTGGCAGCAAGCAGGAACCGCGTAGCTTTGAGAAGAAGGCCGCGTGTAGACGCCGGTTGACGGTCGGGTGACATTACTGCACATCCGACGATTGTACGTTCACTGTTTCATCTCCGCCGATTCGGACCGGAAATTGCCCGAAGCGCGTGTCTCGTGAGATCGACTCCATGTGACCATCCACCCTCTTTCTGCCGATTCGGATCGGAAATCGCACCGGATTTCATGTGATCATCTAACCTGCCTCCACCTTTCTCTCTGTCGATTCGGGTCGGAACTCGTACGATGCCTCATGTGACAATCTAGCCTGCCTCCCCTCCTCTCTGTGCCGATTCGGATCGGAAATCGCTTGAGACCTCATGTGATCACCCCGGCCTGCTTGCCGTACCATTTTTTCTTTTCTAGGCGAGAATACGTACGACAGTAACACGCCTGACCAAGGTGGAGGAGGCCGTCGGGGAGGCACTCGACGCCGCCGGGCTGAGGACGAAGTTGGACGAGGCTTCCGCGGCAAGAGAGTCGGCCCTGCAAGAAGCGGAGGCCGCGAAACGAGAATCTGAGGTGACATCTATTTATATCCAAGAGGGACAGAGTTTCGATGGGCATTCCTTCCTGTAGACCGCAAGCATGGAGTTCGGCGCGGCATTTTTATCAAACCTCTCCGAATGTTTTCGCTTTCGAACACGGTGGGAGCAATTGTAGGGTAATTTGTGTTACTTTGAAATTGGCGGACTGTTGGCGAGGAGGGCCTCTGGTCTGGTGTGTTCTTTGGAAGAATACCAAAGAAATAATAGATGACGAAATACAAGAAGAAAGTATCGAGACACAGAGAGTGAAGCGCCTTATTTGTCTGCAAAGATCTATGTTTTTTTGTGTGTGGAGGGATATCTCCTGCCGAGTTGAGTGCGCCGTTCACTGCTAGAGATTATCGACTTCATATTGTACGAGGACTCGGCCGTTACCCGAAAGAGCGGCGATGACCCGCTGTCGGGGATACCAAAAGCAGCCGTTTAGTTGCCGTAGATGTCGTCGACGATGCTGATCTCTTGCCGCAAGAAGAATTGGCTTGTGTAGATTGAGGGATATGCCTCGTGCTTTGTTGTTGGCGCCGTCAATTATGGAGTTGGTATGTACGTCGTCAGAATGGCACACGGTACGGTTTCTTGCTCATGTCCCTCTGGCCACGATCGACAGCGACACTCTAGTTGAAGCAAAAACATGCGCGCAGCAATGGCCACAACAGCGACCAAAACAGCTACAACAACAGCAACATTGGGTTTACCACCACCACCACCACCACCACCAACAACAACAACAACAAATACAACAACCACAGGCACTCGTGTCGTCCCGAGACGAGGCAGTACGCGCCAGCGACGCCACGCGCAAGAAGCTCGAGGCCTTCGAGGGTAACCTTGATCGAGTCTCCCGGGAAACACGAGCGGTTCTCGACGAGAAAGAGGCGGAACTGCGCCGCCTGCAGGGGGCCCTGGGGCGAAAGGACGCGGTCGCGAAGCGTGTCCTGTCGGAGAGAAAAACGGAGCAGCAGGCGCACGCCAAAGGTGGTGGTTTGTGTGGTAGCACTTGGTCGTTTGTTATCGAGGGTGGCGTTGCGGTGTGCTGCGGTGTAGGAAGTGGCTTTCTCGTCGTCTTGTTTTTGACGTGCTTGGTGCAGTACGGTTGAGCCAGTGTCGCTTGCGTGCTGTTTCGCGAGCTAATTTCATGTTCGCTCGCTAGTATGTCTCCAGGCGCTGCGCTCCTTTGCCGCATATCAGCCGACGTACCAGAGAGCTACAACCAAAATCTCTCACCAAAATTTCGGAAGAACCAAGCGAAGTCTCGCATGCCTCCTCGCCCGTTGCTGAATCTCCACATCAATGAACCGCGCGCGAAAGACGACCCACCCCTACATCCCCCCCCCCCTGTAGGTATCGAAGAGCTGCGGCAATCCGTCGCGGCCTCCCGCGCCGAGACCTCTCGCCTTAAGGCCGACCTCGCTAAGACCCGGGCGGGGGCGGCCCGGGGCAAGGAAGACGCCGGAGCGGCTGCTGCTGCGGCGGCGGCGGCGGAGTCGGCGGCGAGGGCGCGCGCTGCCGTGGCTGTCGGCGCTAGGCAGGACGCAGAGAAGGCGATGTCGGGGCTGAGGGAGCGACTGGGGGAGCGGGAGCGGGATGCCGCGTCGGCTCAGGAGGTGAAGGGAACTTGCTGTTGTTGATGTTGTTGTTGTTGTTGTTGTTGTTGTTGTTGTTGCTTGGGGTTATAATTTCAACAACCCGCGGTCGCTAGCAGGGTGACCCCATTGCCACTTGGCCTGGCGCAGGATTAGCTGGAAGGACAGAGCCAGAGAGAAGCGTGTCGTGCGAAAAGCAGGCAGGGATACTTCCTTGACCAAAGGAAGCTGCTGCGCTGTTGACCGAGGAAAGGGCGCATCAACTGCACCGACAACGGCCGGGCGTTTCTGTTTACAACCTCCTCCCCCCTCCTCCCCCCCCCAGGACCTCGTGAAGGCTAACCAAGCCGTGAGCAAGCTCGCCCTCGAGCTTGAGAGTTCCCGAGCTTCCGAGGCTCAAGCGCGCCGCAAGGCCTCCGGCTCCAAGGCCGACCTTACCGCCGCGCTTGCCCGGGAAGAGGAGGCCGTGTTCCACCTGCGAGAGGTGGAGGAGACCGCAGCCCGCCGCCGGGGGGAGCTGGAGGGGAGGCTGGCCGCGGCGGAGAAGGCGTGCCGGGAGGGCGCGGGCGCGGCGGTGGCGGCGAGGGAGGAGGAGGTCGCTCGGGGCAGGGCTAAGCTTGCAGAGGTGGTTGCCAGGAGGGATGAGAAGGTGGGACGGGATGGGGAGGAGGTGCGGCCGTTTTTTTTATTGTGTGGGATATTGCTGTTGTTGTTCCTGTTGCTACGGGGGGGTGGAAGTTGAAGTGAGAGAATCATTGGGAATTCCGGTAGCTTGTTACGTTCGGCAGGCTTGTGGCTTTAATCCGGGCGGAGTTGTGTATTTTTCTTTTAAGTGAATACTATGAATTTCTTGTCTTTTATTGCTGTGTTTGTCCCGAACGGCCCTACCCCACCCGCACCCGGCGTCATTATTGTGTTACGCACGATGATACCTCAACAGACCGAGCGTCGCGTCAAGCAGCTCGAGCAAGAGCACGAGGAAAGCCTCTCGGCCGAGCGCCGGCAGGCACGGGAGGTCCTCCGACTTGCCGTCGCCGACGCGAAAGCGCGGCACGATCGCGAAGCCGCCGCCGCCCTGGCCGCTCTCTCCTCCGAAAACAGCCTCGCATTGGCGAGAGCTATCGAGGAGAAGGACGCCGAGCGAGCGGAGGCGTTGGCGGAAGCAGCTACGGCGGCGGAGGCTTCGAAGGCGGGGGCGGTGCGCGATGCGGTGGCGAAGGCGGAGGCGGAGGCTGCGGCGGCGGTGGCGCAGGCGGAGGCCGAGAAGGAAGAGAAGGCCCGGGGAGCGGCCGAAGATGAGCGACGTCTCGCCCGGCAGTTGGAGGAGCACGCGTCGGAGATAGCGCGGCTGCAGGAGGAGGCGAGCCTCGCCGCCGTTGCAGCGGCGGGGCGGGAAGCGGCGGCGGGGCGAGAAGCGGCCGCGGCAGCGGAGGCGACGGTGGAGGCGGCGTGGCGGCAGCAGGCCGTCGCCGACGGAGCGAAGCACGAGCGAGCCGTGAGGGAGCTGGAGGAGGACTTTGCCAAGCGGCGCGAGCTTCTCGTGGAAGGCGCGCGCGTCGAGCTAGAGGAGGCGGTGACGGAGGCGAGAGCGGCGGCAGAGGGCGAGGCCCGGCGGAGCGTGCGGGAGGCCGAGGAGCGGGCACGGGAGGACGCGCACAGGGAGGCGAAGGAGGCGGCTGCTCGGAAAGAGCGCGAGATGAACAAGGCACTCAAGGTAATAGATGTCGTGGGGGTGTTTTTTTTGTTGTCCTGGCACCCATCCTCGGTGTTGTTCTTGGCTTTCTCTCGTGTGGTGCTTGTCGTGCTCTTCTTTTCTCTGTGCGTGCGTGCCACCGAATTCAGCCATCGGTCACCGCTTTGTTATTTTTTTCGTTGACCTACGCCTTGGTCACGCATGGCCTGTGACCCGTTCGCATGATTTGTTGGCGGTTGCATGGTGCGCTTTGCTCAAGGAGGCGTGTCTTGTCTCTGGGGGCCTGCCTCGCGTTCTCGGTGCGTGCGTACCAACGAATTCAGCCACCGGTCGGAACTATGTTGTTTTCCGTCCACCTAAGCCTTGGTCACATTCGGCCCATGGTCCTCTGCGTACCACGCGGTTAGATGACTTGTTGGGCGGTTGCGCGGTTCGCTGCGATATTGTCGGCTGGCAGCAGTTGTCGATGCCATCACTCTTCGAATACCAGTGTGTCTACCCGAATGCCCGCGCGGACACCGATGACGCCTGCAGAAACGGCAGGGCGCAGCGCGCGTTACCGCCACCGGAAACTCTATTTGTCGAGTCCGAGCTGCATCAATATAATAGGTCGAACTCTTCCCCTCGGAGCGTGAGTCTTCCCCCGCCTCCACCCCCCCCCCCCCCATCTCTCTCTCTGCCACACGGCCGCGCGTCGGCCAGGCCGCCGCGCGACTGACGCTAAAGTCCCAGCGGGACGCCCAAGCCTCGCTCGAGTCGGAGAAGGCTAGGATGGCGGAGGAACTCGACCAACGCCTCCGGAACGCGCAGGAGACCCACCTCGCCGAGAAGACGGAGGAGCTGCGAGGGCAAGCGGAACGCCTGACAAGGGAGGGGGCCGCGGCAGTGGCCAAGGTCGAGGCTGAGAGTCGGGCCGCCGTTGCCGCCAGCGCTACGGCTGCGGAGGAGCAGGCGGAACTGCTGCGGGGACGGCTCGAAAGAGTTTCCGGGGAAGTGAGGGCCGAGCTCGAGAGGGAGTTCCAGGAGAAGGAACGGCTTGTTCGAGAGGGGGTGAGGGAAGTGGTGTTTGTGTGTGAGAGAGAAGAGCGCAAGCTCACTTGAGAGGAGAGCGCGCGCTCGCCCCGTGTGTGTTGTGACAGGTGTGTTGGTCGCTGGCGCATATGGCGGGTGCCGGTGCTTTGGTCTGCAGGTTAACGACGAGGAGGAATGTTTGGCGTCTTGTTGAAGAAAGAGTAAAACATGTGACGAAGAAACGAAGGATACACATGTGACGAAGAAAATAGTAGTCTGTGGGCAGTCCTCTCCGCACGGCACATGTGTTCAGGGGGATTGATTGGTTTCATCATCTTCCCCCTATTGACCTTTCCTCCTTGTTCGTCCCCCGCCGGAATCAACAACAACTAACTTCTTTCAGATGCAGCAGCGTCTCGACAGCCAGGCCGCGGAGATGGAAACCCTGTGGCGGGCAGAGCTGGAGCGCTCGCTAGCCCTCAGGACGGAGGAGCTCGAGGCTTCGCACGAGGCTTCTCTGAAGGATGCGACGGCTGCGGCAGCCGCAGAAAGAGAAGAAGCGGTCCTGCAAGTTCGCGACGAGCTGGCGCGGTCGGAGGAGGCGTGTCGCTCGGCCAGAGAGTCGGCCGCGGCGAGCGCGCGGCGGGAGCAGCGCCTCCTCGCAGAGGAGCGGAAGGCCGCTTCCGCCGCGGGAGTTGCGGAGGCGGAGGCGGAGGCCGCGGATCGGCGGCGTCGGCAAGAGGTAGAGGCCGCCGGGGAGGAGCGGCGGGCGGCCGTGGAAGCGGCGCGGAGGGAGGCGGAGTCGCGGGCGAAGCGTGAGCTGCGGGAGGCGACGAGCAGAGCGCGAGAGGAACTCGCCGTGGCGGAGGCTCGCTGGGCGGAAGAGGTGAGGCATTACCGGATAAGAGAGAGTCTAGATGCTGCTCTCTCTCGAGGTTGTAGTTCTTTGGAAGGGGGATTGCTCTTAACCATATGTTTTCTTCTTCAACGGAATGCACTATCTTTCAATTTTATACTTGGGGGCTCTCAACCCCCCGTGCTGTTTCCTCTGAGGGCAGGGGGGGGGGTTGTGGTTGCGTCGCCGACGCGTGTTTTTGTATCGCTCCGACCCGTTCATCCAAGCGGCGCTTAACTTCACTAAACACGTACCCCCACGGCGTTCTCGACTCCGGCCAGTCCGCAACCCTGAAGCGGCAAATAGCGGGGCTCGAGGCTCGCGTCGAGTGTGCAACAGCGGCAGCGCGGGACGAGGCCTTGGAGGCACGAGCGGCGGAACGGCGTGCGATGGAAGCCGAGAAGGCCAAGGCCGTTGAGGCCGCGGAGCGGGACGCCAGGCAGGCGGAGCGCGGCCGGGGCGAGCGCAAGGTGCGGGAGGCTCAGCTTCGGGCGGCGAGGGAGGCGAGAGAAGCGGCGGAGGCTGAGCGGCGGGAGCTCGCGTGGCGTCACGCGGAGGAAATCGAGAGGGTGGCGAGGGAAGAGCGGGAGGCTAGAGCGGTGGAGGCTGAGCGGGTCGCGGATGAGACTGAGGAGGCCGTCCGGGTGGCCGTCGAGGCCGAGCGGCAGGAGCTCGAGCGGCGTCACGGGGAGGACGTTAACAGGGTCGCGAGGGAAGAGCGGGAGGCCAGGGCGGCGAGAGAAGCGGCGGGGGCTGAACGGGTCGCGGGGGAGACTCAGGAGGCCGTCCGTGTGGCCGTAGAGGCGGAACGGCGAGAGCTAATGCGGTGGCATGGGAAGGAAATAGAGAAGGTGGCGAGGAAAGAGCGGAAGGCCAGGGCGGTGAGAGAAGCGGCGGAGGCTGAACGGATCGCGAGGGAGACTCAGGAGGCCGTCCGGGTGGCCGTCGAGGCCGAGCGGCGAGATCTCGAGCGGCGTCACGGGGAGGAAATAGAGAGGGTTGCGAGAGAAGAGCGGGGGGCTAGAGTGGCGGAGGCTGAGCGGGTCGCGGGGGAGACTCAGGAGGCCGTCCGTGTGGCCGTCGAGGCCGAGCGGCGAGATCTCGAGCGGCGTCACGGGGAGGAAATAGAGAGGGTGGCGAGAGAAGAGCGGGAGGCTAGAGTGGCGGAGGCTGAGCGGGTCGCGAGGGAGACTCAGGAGGCCGTCCGTGTGGCCGTAGCGGCCGAGAGGCGGGATCTCGAGCGGCGTCACGGGGAGGAAATAGAGAGGGTGGCAAGGGAAGAGCGGGAGGCCAGGATGGTGAGAGAAGCGGCGGAGGCTGAGCGGGTCGCGAGGGAGACTGAAGAGGCCGTCCGTGTGGCCGTCGAGGCCGAGCGGCGGGATCTCGAGCGGCGTCACGCGGAAGACATCGAGAGGGTGGCGAGGGCGGGGGCGCTGGCGACCAGGGTTGCGACGGAGACGGCGGCAGCGGCGGCGAGGGAGGGCGGCGGTGATGTTGTCGCCGCGGTCGAGAGACGGGTGGGGGTGGAGGCGGAGAGACGCCGGGCCGCGGAAGCCGCGCTGGAGAAGGCGGCCAAGGAGTGGGGGCTGGAGGTGCGTGCGTGTTGTTTGTGGTTGGAGTCGATCGCGCTAACCGGATGGCCCGTGGAAGTACGTCGGTCTCGGTGCCGTGAAGAACGGGAAACGCAATTGTGCGCGTGTGCTTCTGTTGTGTGCACCAAACGGGCTGACCCGCTCACCAATGAAAATGAAAATATGTCGGTCTCGTCAGCTGGTTGAGAAACGCGAACTGCGTGTGTGCGTGTTCCGCGAGGACGGTGTGCTTGCTGCCACGAATAAATGCGTGTGTACGTTGGTAAATGATCGATATTTTCAAAGTTTCTCTCTCTCGAACTTGACGTGACTCTTGACGTCGCCTGTGAAAGTTAAGCGATGTTGAGGAATGAGGCTGTTTGTCTCACGTGCGTCTGGGTCCGGGGTTGTCGGGGGCGCCGTGTGCAGCCACTGGACGCGGCCGAAACTCGATGGCAACATCCGCACCGTTGCAAAATTTCTTCTGCGTTGTCAACTGCGAAGATTTGGAGCCGCCAGTGTTCAACAATTTATTAAGCACACCGGTGTTCCCTCAGAAGCACACCAGTCCGGAGGACAGTGCCTCACTTGTGTGAAAGCGTAACGTGTCGGGCCGAAGCAACCGAACCCTAACTGCGTACCCCTACGGCGCGCGAAACATGAGTGCGCCCCAGACCCCCCCCTCCGCGCCTTTCCTGTGTACCCTCCTCCTCACCAATTGTCAACCAGAGAGCCGAGGCCCTCGCAAGTCAAGACCGAGCCCACCGGGACACCGTTCAGGCTGCCCTTGCTGCGCTGGCCACCGAGAAGGACTCGGCTTTGCAAGCTGCCGTCCGCGACGAGCGACGTCGGGCCGAGGCCGCGGAAGCCAGGGCGTCTGCCTCCGAAACCAGGGCGGCCGAGGCTGAGTCGGCAAGGTGTGGGACTCCAAACTTTGCACACCCTGTACAACGATAACTAAACAACTAAACTAATTGTTGTGTAAGGGTTCAACTACCCGTAGTTGAAAGGAATAATCTAAATGCACAAGATTCTGACCGAGTAGTTGTTTGTCAAAAGAAATACAACAATCGTGGTTGTACAGGGTGTGAAAATTTGTCGCGCGTGGGCGTTGTTGTTGTCGCTGTTGTGGGCTGCTGCTCCCTCTGTGCTGGTTGTTGTTATTGGAGATGGCGATGTTGGTGACGTGATTTTTTCGTTGGTTTATTTCCTTCTTGCTGTTTTTGTCGATTTGGCTGTTTCACCTCTTGTTGTGGCTGTTGTCGTTGATGCTGTGCCTCTCGCGCCCATTGGCTCACGTCCTTCGCTCTCTTTTATTGTTGGTTGATTCTTGCTGTTGGTTGTCAATTTGGCTACTACACCGCTTCTTGTGGCTGTTGCCGTTGATGCAGTGCCTCTCGCGCCCGTTGGCTCACGTCCTTCTCCCCCTTCCGCGCCTTTCGGGGACACAGAGCGGCGGCGACCGTAACCGCGGCCGCGGCTGCGGCGGCCGCCGAAGCAGCCGAGAGCCGCTCTCGCTCGGTCCTGTCCACGAACGAGCAAGCTGCCGAGAAGCTCAGGAAAACGGTGGAGGAAGAGGCGGAGTCCGTGCGGCGACAAGCCCGCGAGGACGTTGCCCGCGCGAAGGAAGAGGCGGACATGTCGGTGGAGGAGGAGCGGTCTCGGGCTCTGAAGGAGGTGAGAGGGTTTCCAAGAACCGCGGCGTATTGTGTGTGTGTGTGTAGGGGGGACGCACACCGTACGTGACACGAGATACCACACCCCTTGGGCCGTTGGCTAAATTTCGATCACTCCACGACGAAGAGGATGTATACCTGAAAACGATACGTTTTCGGAAAGACCTCGACGAGACAGCTTCAACGCCGCCGTTTTCGGCACTGCATTTCGTTCTGTTTGTGGAGAAATCGAGCTGTGAAAAGCGGTTCAGGGGCTGTGGTATATTGCGCTACCGACGGTATAGCATGTGTAAGCTACGGCGTAGACCAAGAACGAACGCTACTAGAGGGGGGTGGGGCATTGCAATATATGAGAAGCGGTCCCAGGAAGAAGGGACATATGTTTGTTCTCCTATAACCTGCCCATCTCGATCGCCTTTCCATCTCTCACCCCGTCGTCTTGTCTACCCTTACGTTTCTCTCTTGTTGGTAAGCGCTTGACCATCTCCCTCGACGTTTCACCCCCCCCTTCTCTGGTTCACCCCTCCCCGAGAGATCCACCTCCCCCCCCCCCCCAAAGGCAGCAGCTGGCTTTAAGGCGTGCAACATGACAACTACGGTCAAGGTGTTATTTGAGCAACACATGACAACCTCCCAAACCTCTCCCTCGTCGTTTGTACGCCCCCCCTGGGCAGCTCGAGCGCCACCATGGTCAAATTACCCCACAGTAAACAACCTTTGACGACTCCCTTAACCCCCCAACCGCCACCTTTGGCAATGTAGAGCGGAAACGATTAGCCATCATCGGTCCTGTGGGAACAATGATCCATCTTCTCGTGGTCAATGCTCCAACATCTAAGGTATGCAAAACAAGAATACGACCGCCGCCCTCCCCCCCCGCCGTTTGTTTCCCGTTCCCTCGCTACCCGCGTGTGGCAGCTCGAACGCCTCCGGGGCCACTCCGCGTCCCTCCTGGAGACCCTGCGCGGCACCCAGGCCAACTTGGCCGCGGAGGCTGATCGCGCGCGTGCGGCCGCCGACGAGGCCGAGGATCTCCGTCGGAGATCTTCCCTTCTCTCCGACGAGAACGCCGCCCTGAGATCGAACTCCGCCAGGGGCGAGGAGCGGCACCGGGAGGAGCTGGCGCAGTGGGAGAGGGCGGCGAGGGCGGCGCAGCTGGTGGAGGTTGCGGTTCGCGAGGAAGCGGCGGATAAGGCGAGTTACTAACCCTAGGCCTAACCCTAGTGCTAACCCTAAGGCGAGTGGGTGGATGGTGCATGGGGTTTCAGTCGGGAGTGCACGGCAGCAGCGGTGTTGGTCGTGTGAGGTGCGAGTTGTGAACTCGCTGCTGATGCCGAAGTTAGTTTTCCCTTTTTTTCTCCAACTGTGCAGGCAGCACGTTTGTGCTCGACCTGTTATTGTTTTTATATTCTTGTTTCGAAACACGTGACGCTGACTCGCAGCCCAGGGTTGGTTGGGCTGTTTTTCATTCCGCAGAGTTTTGTTCGTCACATGTCGTGCCGTTGGACACCGCGGACCGTTTGGAAGGCAACGAAAGAGACCGAAGCGTGTTTTTTTCGTCCAACAGCTACATGCGCACAAGCAGTTCCCCCCGGACCATTTGTGCTCAATCCAATCAGGAAGCAAACTTTGACGCCACACCCAGATTTTCCCAACGGTATTGTTTGTGCCGCAGAACAAAGCCACGAGAAATCGCTCAGTGGTTGCCTTTGGGGTGGGGAGCGACGGAAATGGGGAGTATTTATGTACCATGACACTCTGCGTTGTACCAGCTCTTCAAGATTTTTACCATCATAAACCAAGTGTGATTCAGATTCCCGTGTTGCGGCCATTGTCGCGACTTATCTTTCTCGGGGTGTGCAAGGTGCAAATATTTTTGTAGGACGTTTATTATCAGCTCCACCACGCTCAACACTTGGATCTTTGCGGGTGTTCGGGGTTCGATTTCTTCGATTAGGAGGCTGGATGGTCTCAAAGCTGCATCGGCATGGTAGAGGACGTCGAAGCTCGCTGTTTTTTTTTTTTTTTTCGCTTGAGGCCATGACGAATGGGGTGTACTTTCCCCCCCCCCGATGTCGAAAAAAAAAAGGTGAGGAGGTTGGAGGCGTTGGACCGCCAGCGTCGGCAGCAAGCGGAGAGCGAGAATGCGGGCAGCCTGGTGAAGGCCCTCGAGGAGATGGAGCGGCAGCAGTCGGGGGTCCTGAGCGCCGCCCTGCAGAGGAGCGACGCCGCCCTCGGGGAGGTTGCTCGCGTGAAGGAGGTATCAAGAGTGTGAACTGATCCGTAGATATTTCTGAATAGTTTTCTTTGGGCCGTAAGAGTGCATAGATCTGTATACAGATTTGATATATATTTTTTTCTTTTCGTAAGTTTTTTTATCTTTCTCGAGAATGTGAAGAATTTTATTTGGGCTGTAAGACTGTATTCAGATTGGTAACGTTCGTTGTTTGAGGTTTTCTGGGCTGTTCGAGTCAGTAATTCGTGATTTGTTGAGCTTGGGAAACGTCACACGGCAGCTGGCAGTTAGCTGTGAGTCTGCGTTTATCACCCCCTTGATGATACTGCTGCGCTCTCGTGAGCCCTCTCCAGAGGATCACTCATACCGCTGTGTGGGATATTGTCCCACTTCCCATCCCCCCTCGAGATGTATTCGTTGTGAAACACACATGGATTGTGTTTATATTAGGAACCATATAATAGAAAGACCGGACATATCGCCCCGCCGTCCCGGAATGCGAGGTCTATGGTCCAACGACTATGTAGTGAGTGCACCCCCACCCCGAAATGGCGGTGCGCAACGAACACTGAAGGGAGAGGGATGCTCACTCGCCAAGTTGTTCGCGGAGGCGGTCCTTGGTTGTTGTTGTTGTTTCTCGAGTTTCTTGTGTCTTGCAATGGTTGGCTCCCGCCTCTCTCTCTCTCTCCCTCTCTTTTTTTCCGCTACCGCTCGTAAGCGACCGTGCTTGGCGCCAGGCCATGGCGTGCGTGACGCTACCATCACACCGTCTGTTTCCGCGAGGCTTTGCTTGTTTTAGGTTGCTGTTTGCGAACCTCTCATGGGGGGTGCTTGTTGTGTAGGTCGCCGGCCCTTGATTCGTCATCTTCGTAATGGGATTTTCTTGTTATTTCCGTGGGCTTGGTCCCTTGTGTTGTCATGTCATTGGGACATGTCTTTCCCTTTTTTTTGTTTCGTGCGGGCAGGTGCTGTCATGTTGCTTTGGCGGTATTTTTTCTTTCATGCGTTTGGGGTCCCTGTGTGTGGTCATGTTATGAGAGGAGGAATCCTTCTTGTGTTTTTTTCGGTGCTCGTTGTCACGTTATGGGGGCAGTGCTTTCTTGGCGTATTTTTCAGGTCCTTGTCATGTTTCAAGGACGGGTGATTCTCTCTGTTGTGAACCCTGCGGTGCTTGCTGTCTGTGGTACGCCCACCTAGCCCTTTTCTCCCTTCTCGAACAACTCGTCCGTCACTAAGGCCATGTGGAACAAGGCGGAGGAAAACGCCGACGCTCTCAGAGAGGCGTTCGAAGCGGCGGCCGAGCGGGCTGCGGAGGAAGCCGAAAGGAGGACGAAGGAGGCATTGGCACGGGCAGAGCGCGTCTATCAAGGTGTGGGAGATAGGGGGGGTCGGTTTGCTGGACACTCTGGCGTGTCGGTCCTGTCTGACGTGGATGCAGCAGGCTTCTAGAATGCGATGGTTACTTGTAATGTTGTTGTTGTTGTTGTTGTTGTTGTTGTTGTTGGTGGTGGTGTTGTGGTCGACTTGTGGTATATTTATTCTTTGCCTGCTGCCGCTTTTGTGCCCTCGTGGAAGACTCGCTGTCCCGCGCGCGCTCAATTTTCGATAAGCACAAACCGAGCTCAAAACATCCTCAGGCAACTCTCCTGCATCAGCCTTGCAACAGCAGGCAACACTGCTATTCCTTATATCAACTGGAGGCAAGCCCTAACTCACCGTGTACATTCATTGTCAGGCAAGCTGGCCCTAGCTCTGGTGTCTAGGGATGCAGCGGCCGCGGGCCGCGCTCGTTGCGAGGAGCGTTCCAGGGAACGGTCTCCAGATCGATCCCGGGGCCGATCTCCTGACGAGCGAAGAGGTTCGGACGAGGCGGCATCCCCCGCGCAGCAGAGGAGCGATGGTGCAAGGATCTCGCCGGCGGAACATGAGGTATGAAACGACTTGGCAACAGATTGACGGCGGTCTTGATACTGTTACAGCAGGCCTCGTTGTTCTTCCTACCACGGCCGTTGGTCGGGACGTCGTGTGTCGCCTGGGCTGAAGGAAGATTTGCTCGGGTTTACTCGAAAAAAGTGACGCTGCTTGCGTGCCTCATCTTTGTTCTTTTCTCACACCGTGTCACGCGTACTTTCCGCTTCGTTTGGTCGTCCCCTCCCTCCAAACCAAACTCTTTTTCATCCTACTGTACCCCGGTTTTCCCCTTTCTTGCGCTGTGTGCTTCCCCCGGGCACACCCGACCGACCACCGTGTGTATGAACACACCGAACGAGAGCAGGAGGCACTGCGCGCGGCCCTGGACGCGCAACGCGCCGAACACGAACGCCAGCTCGAAGCCGAGCTGGCGGCGAGAGACGCGGAGGCCCTCGAGGCGCTGCGGCTGCTGGACTCTCAACACCGCCGCGGCGACTTTGGTCGCCACACCGCCGTTGATGCTGTCAGCGGCGGCGGCGGGGGCGGTCACGGCGACTCGGGTTCCACGTCACCGCCATCGATAACAGCCTCGGCGTCGGTACCCGCACGAAATCGACAGCGGGAGGCTTCGACGCAGCCGGCGGCGGGGGCGGCGGGGGCAGTGGTAGCGGCGATTCGCTCGGCGGCGGCCGCTAGAACCGAAGCCTTGAGGGGGGCCACGGAAGAGAGCCACCGCCTAGAGGAGGCCATGTCACCGTCGCCATCTCCGGTCCGCGGGGACCCTGGTCGGTGGTACGTCGCGCCGCCCCCCCGGCCGGTGCCGAAGAAGACCGGGATGCCGGTCACTGGCGACAGCAACGGCGATGGCAGCAATAGCTCCGGCTTATCGTACGACGGTGGCGGTGGCGGTGGTGGAAGGTATCTTCACCAGCAACACGGCGGCGAGATCGCCAGTGCTCCCGGGGAGAGCGGGACCCCAAGAAGCGGGGGCCGCCGCCGCCGCCGCCGCCGAGAAGCCAACGCCGGTGCGGAAAGTATAGCAGCAGCCCCTATCGTTGGATTGTCTCCTCCATCGTTTCTGGGAGTTGCCGCCGCCGCCGCCGCCGCCCCGGCCTGGACTGTCGGAGACGGTGGGGGTGGAGGCGACGACCTTGCGGCCGTGCTACGTGTCAGCGCGGATGCCGGCGGCGGCGGCGGCGGCGGTAGCGGGGGCGAGATCGGGCACGGAGAGCCGGAGACGGGAGGCGCGGACGACGCCGATCCGGGTCTGACGGTGAGGAGAGTCTGCGTGGGCAGGCATCCGCTGAGGCCTTGAAATCGAATCCGTGTGTCGCGGGCATGTACGCGCAAGAACGGTGGAAGAGGTTGGTTCCAGCGAGATTTAGGAATGTGGATGCTACACGGTTGGGATTGCACGTCTTCCATCTGCGCGCGCGAATGAGGAGGAAAGAGCCAGCTGGTATCTATCCCGTGCGGGTGCTCGTGGGACACTTTTTACGCAAAGGAATATCTACACTGGGGGGGGGGTGTACTCATAGTCGTGCATGCCGTAGTCGTTAGACCATTGACCTCGCACACCTACAAAGCCGAGACGGAGCACGCCGGGTTTTCACCGGACCAGGCTCTGACATCACCAAGCGCAAAGCACCGTGAGATATTCGGCGAGTCGCATGAAGGGTGCGCTGCATCCCGATAAGGGTGTTCGGCATGTTGTGCTTCCTTCCTTGCGTACGGATGACAGCTACGTATGACTTAATTTATTTTCTGGTGCTTCCACTTCCAGAGACAGTAATAAGCACGTCTACGCCAGGGGGGCGATTTTTTGCGGTCTGGTTTTCTTCTTCTTCCCGGTGTCAGAGATACCATGCACCAAACGGAAGAAAATATTAACACACGGCCTTTTAGAAGCATATTCTGTTGTTGGCCGCGCTGAGACTGACGTCTTTTCATTGGTAAGTCGGTTAGCGCGGTCGATACTGAAAAACACACACACACATACATCATGTGTCACGTGCGGCGGACGGGCGGGACCGATTGTTCTTTGTGTCCAACCTCCCACACGCAGGACACGGAGAAGCGGTACAAGAGAGAGCTGGAGGCGTTGCGGGGCCGGGTCTGGGAGCTAGAGGGCATGGTCGGGGGCCGCCTGGAGGAGCGCGAGAGGGCCTACCGGCGGAAGCTTCGCGCGGCCGTCGCCGAGTGCCGCTCGTCGCGCGTGCGGAAACACGGGCCCCCCTCCAACAACGGGGCTCCCTTCAATAGCGCCCCCCCCTTCAAACATGCGGCCCCCGTCTCTGAGACGGCGTCCGATGTCGGCGCGAGGAGAGGCTGGGATACCGGCGACCTCAGACCGCAGGGAGGGGGGCGCCGTGACGGTCCCCGTGGGGCGGGGGGGGGCTCTTCGCACCACCGGTCGCCGCCTCAGGAAGGGCAAAGGACGCTTTCGGTGACGATAAGCTCGAGGCACGGGGCCAAGGGGGGCGGCGGCCGTGTTCGAAGCAACAGCCATGCTTGAAGAAACTCTAGGTTCGAGTGTAAGAGCTGAATGTATGGGAAAACAGTATCGCCCCGAGTTCGGAGCGATAACTTCCGCAGTTGATAGTCGTGTGACCTTGAGAGTTGGCTAGTTTTTAAGGACGCTGCCTGCGCTTGACTAGGCGACTCAATGAAGTATACAGAGTACGTGACGATGTTGTTCTGGTCGCAATAAGTCTACTGCAAATTGTTGTACCAATGTTTTGGTACCATGCGAGCAGCTCTGAAATTGAGCAGCTTGTGGATAACAACCGCCATAATGGCTTTTCGTAGTTAGCGCGATGCCCTTCTATTGGGCCCGGTTTTCTTGGAGCGGCATGGACCGTCAGGAAGACTTGCTACCCAAACCAACCCGGATAGAGTAGACGTGCCAACGATGTATGATACAGTAACGCGCGTGGCAAACTACTCTAGTTCTCACCTGTTTCTTGTTTTTTGCCGAAAATCTCTTCTCCGCAGTTCGTAAGTCCCCAAGTTTAGCGAAGTTCATGCCGGCTTTGGTCGTGCACTGGCATGTGAGACTGGGGGAGATGTAGAATATCTATGTGCGTTTTTCGATGTGGCAGCAGCAGGCTGAAACGTCCGAGTTGCGCGTTTCACCGGCTTTTTTGTTGGTGAAATAGTTTCCAGGTGCAGACCGGCGGGCTGGCCACGTCCACAGGACGGACTGCCGAAAAGTCTAGAAGTTTGTGTTTCCACCGGCCCTAGCTGTTACGCAAGCAACCGTTCGGCCCAAACCGACTTGTGTGGTTGCCGACGCACGCCCAAGAATGTGGCCGTTCCGCAGTGTCAAGTCGTAGATGAGGCTTGTCTACGACACCGCTCGAAATGTTTCGAAACCACCTCCAATGGGCACGAATCCACCTGCGATGTGCTCCCATGGCCCTCAGCTGTTGCGCAAGGCGCCGTTCGGCCCAAACCGACAGGTGTCTGCCGAGAAACGTCTGAGAATGGGGCCACGTTGTTTACAATCGTCGGCCAACGCATGGCGGATCAGCTACAGCATCCACCCAGATACGCCTCTTCCCTCGCTGAATTAATACAACGTCATGTAAAACAACCTGCACATTTTGGCCAGCACACAGTACCCAAGGGTCTAACCGGTTCACAAACTAACTCGAAAGGTTCTCGCCAAAGGATCCCTGCCAAGTCATCCCCACGGGAGCCAGTACACCGGCGCCCGTAAGGTTTTGAAGAGACGATGCAACCCAAAGTCCGCGTCCAGAGGCAAGCAACAGGTGGAATGAACAGCCCTGTGGGGTATCCTGCAACCTTCGGAAGGAATGAACAAAGCGAACACGCCGACGACCTGACCCTGTCGTGAGAAACAAAGACTCCCCGTCGATCGAGCTTTGGGCAACCTGGTCGACATCCATCATTCGTCCGTGAGGGTCATCACATATTGTCCGGAATCATGAATAGAAAACGCATACATACCAAAAATGCTCCGTACACTCTCATCAAACTCCTGAACGCACCGAACGAGGGGACTCGTGGGCACTCCGTGCAAAAACACACATCTACTGGACCACCGCCTGGACTCTGTGTGCGAGGAAGGCTACTGGTACTTCACTCGGTGAAGTCAAATTGTACCAAGTTTTTGTTATCGACGATACTGAAACCAATGCCATGAGGAAACACCGAGGTAGAGGTAGAAAAAGACCTCGACCAAATCACGCATGGGACCCGAACACTAAGGTCGGGAAAATGCGCTTGGTTTACGAGCGATCGAAACAGGCGTCGGAAAGCAACCACCCACAACTCTACTCGCTGTGGAGAAGACGAGACATCTGGTTAGCCACTGCAAAAGACAGAGGGAATATCCCTGCTGGTGCATAGGATGCCAACGCTGCAGCTGTGCTAAACCTGCAAGCTGGTTTTAGAGCAGAAAACGCGGAGGCCTTGAATGATTTGTCTTTCTTTAAATCGCTCATAGATGCCACAGAATCGTACGTTGGCGACTTATGTCATGAACTCAAAGTACCACGCGGTGACAGTGAGGACTGGGAAGATGCTTTGTACGACGCGATAGAACAAACAGCAGTGACTGACGCGGACAAGGAAGTTTTTAAGCCTCTTACGAACCACATAGATTTTGCTGCAGCTAGGACATCCTTTCACCAATTGCACAAGAAGGTGGTGTTTATGAGACTCGACAAAGCGGCCAACTGCATTTGTATCACATGTAAGGCGTTCTATATTATAGGTTAGCCAAAGCAGAACTTGAAGGACCGGGGTATAGGACAGTACACGGAGAGTTGGAGATGGTGAAACAGACGACCATTGACCGACAACATAAGTTTTTGGTGGATGAAAAGATACGAACGACTTCTTGTTAGATTAGCTTACGTGCTATCATGTGTTGTTTTTGTTTTGATTATGTTTCGCTTTTATTAGGAAGTGTTTCATTCTTTTGTTCAGCAATTCCTGAAATGGTGTTATGTTGTGTAATGTCTATATGATCAATAAGCTCGCTGGTATGTAATTAATGACGTAAAATTCCCGTTCAATTTGCTTTTTGCGCTACCAAAACTGCACACACATACTTCAGTAGGAGCTTGATAGCTTATAGCGATGCGAAAATCTGTGGGCAACAGCATATTTGACCGTCGAAACCGCAAGGGGGAACACTGAAAATGAAACGTGTCCCTTGCGATTAGGATAATCGATTTCTGTACACCTTTCATGAAAAACTCCCATACACCCAGGTAGCAACGGAAAAACTGGGAATTCCGACAAACTCCGCTGAAATCTGCACTTCAAAGAGCCAGCCAGTCACATCAATCTGCTGAGAGGGGCACGCATGCAGTCATTCCGTTTTTAGCTCAGCCACCCACCTCTCTTGGATTGCGGAGCTAGCCGGCATTTCGGATCCAGCCGTTGTGCGATACTAATCATCTCCGATAGGACTTGAGGAGGACGGACTGCAAAGAAAGCTGTAGTAGCATACTGCACTGCGTTTGCTCCTTGCTGCTGCTTTTGGCTGACCCAGGACTCCGAAAAATCCCCACAGGTACGAACAAACTCCTTTGTGTGTTGTCGAAGGATGGACTACGCTATGTACAAGCCCAACATGCCACCATGCATAACATACTGCAGCTGCCTTCACCTCTCGCCGCGCTTCACCTGTCGCCGCCATTCCACGTCTAGACACATGCTGCCAACTGATGCGACAACTGATGATGCGACAAGACCTGGGTACAACACGGACACAGGGAGTACTCCTCGTGCCCATGCACCGCCAAATTCCTTACAAACTAGAACAACCTCTTATTATTCCTCTCATGCCAAATACAAATGATGTTGTAACATACATGAAATGATGATGGACCCTGTCTTTACTTGTGGTCCACGCTCCCTACTAATGGGAGAGGTAGCCATACCTTCTGCCTACACACGGGCGAGATAGGTAACCATACCCACTGCATTTAACACACACCCACATGTCGGTAATGAAACCTCAACCACACGCCTCTATCGGCGACCACGTCAGGAGGCAATGATGAAAGAATGTTCTCCCGCGCCATTTGCACATTAAACGACACGAAATTACACAAAAAGGTAAGAAAATGGTGACACCACTCCCGTGTGTCCGCACATGATCCGAGATGTGTCCGCACATATTAATATACAACCCGAATATACGTTTGAAAACTGAGGGAGATTACATGCCCTACGACTACAACAAGGAAGGGTGCCACACACAAAATGCCCGACCAGTACCTAACACATTTATCTCTTCTACACCTTTCCAACATAACATATATGAGACATACAAGACAGCTACCAAACTGTCTTGTTGAGCCTGTTACCCGCAGGGGAGATGTCCCTATATGCTGTCTGGGAAACCGTAGACACAGGTACTTTCTGACGCTATGAATTCATTGCTAATCTGTCTCAGACTCTTTGATAGAGATGGATTCGTTGTGTCATATTAAGAAAAAAAAAAAAAAATCTCAAGGCAGATTTTGACGCAACCCGACACCCCGTAGCTTATCGGGTTCTGTACTCAAAACATCAACTCGGCTAAGAAGAGGTCCCTTGCTGCGAAACATACACTGGTCATGCACAAACAAGCATAGACTACAACACGCAGGCACGCTGCGGAAACAATCGCAACTCCACCTCGACCGTGTAACCAACCCCCTTTACCTACCTCAGCGCGGGATACTGGTGGCGGACCGAACTCCTGTATGGGGGAGGAGCGGAAGTTGCAGCAGACACCGGCTACGCCTGAGCTTCCGGGGTCACGGAAATTGTGTCCTGACCACTGAAATCAGGGGGAGGAGGAGGAGGAGGAGCTGCAGCGGAAGAAGACCCCTTGAGAGCTGGTGGCGCCGATCCATCACCAGCAAGAGAACGCTCAAAGAGCATCCTCTATTGTATCTCCCTCGCACACTCTGCCGAAGAGCTGCGCTTGCACCAAGTCCTCAACAAGGCCGCACTGGGGATCGCAGTACTTCCTCTTCAAAAAGACAGGAAACGCCTGGAAACGCCTGCATATCTCGGTTTTCCAAAGTCTAACTCCAGTACGAAACTACCATCGTAAATTAACCGTCCGCAGCGGTTGCTTGTGTACAATGTTAGTAGCTGAGGTTGTAGCCCTTTCGATACACTACAGACTAGCGGTCCGCGATTTTCCAAACGATCCTTCTATCATCGAGTTCGGTGAGCTACAAGCTAGATTTTTGAAGCTGCTGTGTTGCGCTCGCCGCAACTCAACAACTTCGACCACAAGAGCATAAGGCCGAGGCTGACGACCGGTGAGAGACACACGCCGGTTGCCACGTAGAAAAGGATGACGCCCACCGTCGTGTCGGACGCTGACCAAGTGAGTAAGTGGGATAAAGGGGGGGGGTGGTTTAGGCAACAGAAGCAGCCAGCGACCACACATGAGAAGTGTGGTGTATAGAGAACGAATCATGGCTTCGGTGTTCGTATCGATCTGCACGGGTCTGAGAAGACACGGGTTAACCATTCAGTCGCGAAGGACAAACTGGAGCAGAGCCAAGGCAAAATCACCTCGTACAGGTAGATCGAAGACAACCTGATCGGGTTCATGGGCGGTCTCACTGGCAATTGCGCACACCTCTGGGTGCCACTACTATCATACTCTGCAAATACCCCGCGTCCTTGGCATTGCTCTCACGGGTATTCGTTCTCTCACAGAAATTCACGGCAATCTCAGGAATATCATCACTTCACGTGGCTCATCTTTCTTGTATGTCGGCGAATGACATCCCCACCATACCTACATGCAGTTGGGAACGCTACGGGAAGAGAGGGAGAGTGCCGTTCAATGGCACCATCTGTTCGTGTGAGTGCGTATGGAGTGGGATCTGTAGACGAGATGACTGTTTCAGGTGCCCTGCACATAGGTATGCATTGGGTAGTACGACCAGAGAATGATTGTGCGGAGCCCCCACGCCAGCTGCTGTCAGCTGTCGTGCGCGTGGCACTCCCTGCTCTTTCCCCCCAACCGAGTGTGAGAGATAACAAGCATCTAAACATCAAGCACTACAGTCTCCACAAAGACAACAAGGGCATATCACTTAGGGTTGACGAATACCATCCGGTTTAAGATCCACACACCGCACAGAAGTACGAGAGCTTGGTTTTGTTTGTGGGGCTAGCCTACAAGCCGTAAAAACCTGTCGTTGTTAACATGCCTGCCGGCTTGCGTACTGTGC